TAGCACATACAACTCCGCAGAAAAACACTTTGGAGCGAGAGCTTTTCTTCTCTTCCTTTTTTAGGCAGCAGACAAAAATCCTTTGAATAAAAAAGCTTGTTTGGGGGAGGAAGCAAAACACATGCACACACAAATGGGCTGAGGTGGGAAAGATGAAAACCTCCTTCAAGGTAATTAAATGATTATGTATCTGTTAAAGGCAGTGAATAACAGATTTGTTATCTAGGCTTTTTTTTTCCCCCTTCTCTTTTTCCCCTACACAAAGCTCAAATCCTTGCGAGGCCTGGAACAAGATCGTGTTCATCTTAGAGAAGAAGGCACACAAAAAGATGTAATCCTTTATCCCAGCAACTCAATAGGCTCCCCCAGCTTACCCAGCCCTGTACAGATGTCTGTGGAGCACTGACAGGAGAGCTATCCACCTGGATCAGAGCACATCCATACCAGGACAAGATGGGTGATGCAATCACACTGGCCAATAGATACCAGGAGACACAGGTGCTTCTGGCACACCACAGACCCTCAGATCTACTGTTTCCCACCCCTTTGCCTCAGTTTCCCCCCAGTACCTGTTGGCTGTGTTGCCTATTTGCAGAAGAGCATGACTGAGCTCCCTCACTGTGTGGTCGTGGCAGGTGCATAAGGGTTGATTTCACACTGTGTTAATCTGCAGTGCAATGGTTTGTGGTGAAGCTCTTAGCCAGCACTAGGACTTTAGCTATAGTCAGCAACAAAGGTCAAAAGCAGAGACAGGACGGGCAAGAAAAAACCAGAAACTCAGCCCATTTTTACCTCTGAGACTAATTCTCTTCACTTTTGCCATCAGCTCTTCGGGAAAAGCAACAACAGCAGCAACAACAATTCAGTTCACTATTAAAATGTCCTTTTTACCTCATTCTTTCCCCTCCTGCCCTTGGTAACGATAATATCAGCTCTCCTTTATAAAGCAAGAAGTCACTCAGTACATTTTAAGCTAGTGGACTTGGCTTTTGTAAACCTGCTGGAAAGGGAAATTACACACCAAGGTGAAGTATTTATGCCACAAATCACCCAGAGCATCATCAACCCTCTGTGATTCAGATCAGTGCCATAACCATAAACACTCTTGCTTTATGACCATGCTGGAGCTCTTCACTGGAGCAAACATGGACTTTCCCAAGGCTCCCAGAGCATCTGATCAGCTCTAGCACAGGCAGAACTGATTCACCTGGCAAGTGACAGGCCATGGCTCTGTGCTGATGCTGAGGGATCTGCCTTTTCTGTCCTTTCCCTATCCCTGGTTGCTTTGCCAGGTGGTGGTAGGACATCTGCCCTGTCCCAGTCTGGGGCTGGCTGAGCACAGCTATCCCCCATGCAATTCCAAGGCTCTCCTTGGTTGGCCGATCACAATTATCCAGATACAAACAGCATTTTGCCTTCTGGACAGTGTGGGGCATGGCCAAAACCTTTCTGCTGTTCCTTTGGATCAATCTCAAATCCATCCAGCATCCTGCATTGATCAGCAACTCATACCATCAGGAAATAACAGCAAAAAAAACCCCCCAAATCCTCTCAGAGAATGTGAAGAAGACCTGAATGAAAAGCTGAGCCCATGGGAGCCCAGAAACTTGTGAGGTATCTGAAGGAAGTGATGGAGTGAGAAGTGCACAATGGCACAAGTCTCCCTACAAAGCTCTCTGGGCTGGTCCAGGGGTGATGGGTGCCAGCCCAATCAGTCCATTTGCAGCCCAGACCATCTGGAGAGTGGGAAGCCTCTTCCCACATGATGACAAGATTCTGTACAGGCAAACAGAAAAAAAAAACACCTCACCTGAGGGTGGGTGTAGCGAGAGGAGGTGAAGGCCATGGTGAGGGGGAAGGTAGAAGGCTTGGCATGGCAGCAATGATGATTACAGAGGGAAAGAAAATGGTCCATGTAGTAGCACCAATATTTGTTTGTTTGGCAAGGAATCTCTTGGTGCAATCAGACCATATGATCCTGGAAGATGCCCAAGCTAATCTTCTCAGCAGACTCATGGAAAGACTGCAAATGGGATAGTCCAACCGTGCTGATAGTAGTTTCCTACCAGTTCCTCCTTGAGACCTACTGGTTTATCAGGTACTCATGCCTGGATTGTAGTAGCACCAATATTTGTTTGTTTGGCAAGGAATCTCTTGGTGCAATCAGACCATATGATCCTGGAAGATGCCCAAGCTAATCTTCTCAGCAGACTCATGGAAAGACTGCAAATGGGATAGTCCAACCGTGCTGATAGTAGTTTCCTACCAGTTCCTCCTTGAGACCTACTGGTTTATCAGGTACTCATGCCTGGATTGTAGCAAATCCTTCCCCCTCCTCATCCTCTGGGGCTGCAAGTGCACTGGAGGAAAGGATTGACAGGAACACTGCAGATGGAGATGAGAGGTCAGTAACAATGGAGCCACTCAACGTGATGGTGCATTCTGAGATGGCATTGGGAAGTCTGGAAATGGACCTGTCAACCTTGTGAGTCACATCATGTCATCAGGAACAGGGTGGAGGTCTGGATGGGCAGTGAGGAGCCAGGCTTGGCTTCAAGAAACTGAATGGTTCCTATTGTTCTAAGAATGCACTCAACACATAGGCATGTGTAGAGGCCAGAAAATGATAGAATTACAGGTGAAAGTGAAAACCAGAGTGAGAGGATGAGTCAGGGAGGAAATGGCTTTGCAAGAGAAGCGTGGGAGATGGACACAGTGTTCCTTCAAAGTGCCATTTGACAAACCTTTCTGGCCCCAGAGCCATTGTAAATGTGTTTGTCAGAATGCACTTGTGGTGCCATCCCTCCCCTGGCCAAGTGTCCTTAAGAGCTACACGCACATGGATGGAATGAGAAGGACCCTGAGGTTACATTTCTCACATTGCCAGGCAGAAAGCAAACTCAGAAAGTTTGGGGGTTTGCAAGGCTGTTATCCCCTCAGACTTTGTTGCTCCAGTGCTGAGAAGTGTTTCCTCTGCGCAGCAGGCAGCAAAAGCAGCTCCTGAGCTGAGCAGCTCACTGCCAAGTGTTGGATCCTATGGAAGAGAAACCCCATTTGTGCCCAGAGATGGGTTTGCAGCAGCTCTTGTTGCAAGGACCAGGGCTACATACATGTGTTGCATGATGCTGTCATCACCTTGCAGATCAATAGTTGCCTTCCAAGGTTGGGTTTGTGCCTCTCCCTGCTGCCATGCAAACAGCACAGCAGTTTTGCATGACCAGAGGGGGAGTTTATGAACCTGAGCAGGAAATTCTCTGCTAAAGGGGATAGAAGAGAGAAAGAGCAATCTCTGCTGGTAGACAACCCCCACCACAGACTGGAGTTGTCTCCTGGTCTGACAAGAACACCTTTCAGAAACAGAACTAGTGAGGGGTGATAAAGCCAAAACAGGCACATCTGCAGAGTTTGATGAGTTCACTGCCTCCTCCACAGTTCTTCAGTGCAACACCTTGGAGGGGATGAAGTAAAAATCAGGGGCTGTGCCATTCCCAGTCCCTTCCCTAAGAAACTGGGAAACTTCTCCTTTTTGATGGGAACAAATGTCCTGAATATCCAGGATGTGATAGGGGGCAGTGAGCAGGAGATCCACTGAGGTTTGCAGGCATTTCACTTTGGGCAGTGAGCTGGAGGAGTGAAGAGGTGGCAACTGGGAAGGTAAGTCCTGCGCTTGGTACGTGGGACACACCAGAGGAGAGGGACAGAAGATGAGACAAAGTGTCCCAGAGGATGCCACCTCAGCAAGAGGATGAGGTCCTTCCCGCCCCTGAAGTGGAAAGCACAGAAACCTGTGGCCAGCAGGACAACAATCTGCCAAGGTTCCATGTGAGAGAATAGTGACTCTGGTTGGGATAACCTGCCAGAAGGGCTGAACCCTGAGCTGCCTTCTTTCACCTCCTCACCATCAAGCACCTTCAGCTCCTCAGCACATTTTCCAGCAGTTTTAGAGCAAATTCTGAATCGTGGTAGATGGAGAGCTCATGAATATTTATGGCTTGTCCCAGTGCCATAGCAGGTCAGGGTGGTTGATCCAGAACACCTCAACCAACACATATGTGACATCTCAACCAGCACTTCCAGAAGGGGTGTGGAGGGGACAGGGATGCTATAAGGAGGGTGAAGACACTCCATGTGGGTCTTTTGGTCCAGCAGACCATCTGCCTGGGGCATGGCCTGCAGGGAGGTGAGTGGCCCAGACCCAGCAGGCAGCATGGGGAGCAGTGGGGATTTCACCCTCTGCATGCAGCACACGTTGCTGGAGTCTTCAGCAGTGCTTCAGCAGCTATCAGATCTCTTAATGGGCACTGGTCCCTCGGGCCAGGCAAACAACCAGCTCTCTCAGGTCATTTACCAGACAGCCCAGGATGCTTTCAGACCATTCCTGACCAGGACATAATTAAGTGGGTTCCTATTTGTATTCGCCCAAGCTCCTCTTGTCTGCAAGTGCTCATTAGTCACAATCCCAGCCAGACAGCGTTTGCAGCTCAGTATTAAGCCCCAAGGTCCAGCTCAGCTCAACAACTGGCAGTGAGGTATCCCCCAGCCTTGCCTGGAGGCAGTTTGTTGCACTGGACATTAGGTACCAAACCCAGGAAGCCACAGAGGTGCTTGAACCGTGGCTGAAATCCATTGACATGGTGGACATAGCCCTAAATCCTCCTCAGATCTCAGCAGCCTGAGTGTCTGCTCAGAAGTGACCTCCCTCTCTCCCGGAGGAGATGCATGCCCAGGGTTTCCCACCCCTCACAATTCCTTGGTTCTGGGAGCCTGCAATGACTTTCCAAGGTAACACACTCCCTGCAGTGTGCAGGAGGGAGGGAGCAGCTCCCTGGGGGTCTGGCAGAGCAGAGAGGAGAGGAGATACCTGCAGAGGGAGAGGTGAGAGTCTCCTGGAGGCCGAGCAGAGGAGGGAGAGGGTGGGACTGGAGGTGGAGAAGGCTTCCTGGCCTGTTGGTCTGACAGGTGACATTCATTCCCTGACACATGGCCTGTGTCCCACCTACCTCTGGCATCTTGACTCGTCCCTCCTGGAAGGAGCAGGAGCTGGGGTCGTGTGTGCACACGTGGCGGTACTTGCACCAGTGACACCGGTAAGGGCTCTCCACACATGACAAGCACCTGCAGATTGGAGAGAAAGAGCAGTCACCTGGCCAGCCAGGTCCCACCAGCCAACAGGACAGACCTGGAAGTTGACAGTGTTTCTCAGACGGAAATACAGCCTGGAAAACTCGGGTTGTCATCATTAGCAGGAGACCACAACCTTTCCACTGCCACAACAGCAGCAGGTCACAGGATGGTGCTGGACCTGCCTGAGCTGGTTGTCACTGGGATCACAAGTGTCTCATACAAATGAGATCATTCACATTGCATTCTGGAAGGGTTCAACACACATGTGGATGTGGCACTTGAGGACATGGGTTAGGGGTGAACATAGCGGTGGTGCTGAATGATGGTTGGACTTGGTGATCTGAGAGGTCTTTTCCAGCCTGAATGATTCTATGATCCTGCAGGCTCTGAAGTACCTGGAGAGGACTTGGGAAAGTATACATTTTCCTTCCCTTTATGTGCCACTGAGGTTTTAATGGGCAGGAGAGAAAAATCTGCCTCCAGTGGAGCTTGGCTGAGCCCAACAGGAAGCCAGACACCCTCTCCCCTGCCTCTGTGAAATCTCTCTCAACTCCAATCCACTCTGAGCTCTGGTACAGCAAGTTATTCTTCAAATTGGTAACAAGTGCTTGCTCTGATACATCAAATTAAAAATGGATAGTGTATTATAGTTTGTCAAGTAAGAAACCAAAACATGCCATAAATATTTAACACCCCCATCGCTCCTCTCTCCCCCCCCACACTTGCTTTCTGACACTGTTTGTCAAAGCAGCAGGAACATGGAAATAGGATTTGCCTTTCCTTGTGAATAGCTGAGCTGCAGTAATTATCTGCTCTTGGCACTTCTGCTGGCTCAGTGGTGGGGACAAAACTGCTCAGCCTTGCTCAGGGCTGGAACAACCTGCTGCAAGAGCATCTTTCTGCAGGGAAGGTGCAGATCTGCTCCGGTGGGGCAGCTCCTGAGCAGCTCTGGGTGGCAGCTAAACCCCAGAAAAATAAGCAGCAAGGCAGGAAAGGAGCTCCCAGCTTGGGACAGATGGTCTTGAGGGATCAGCTGGGTGTTCCCTGCTCAGTTCACCTCATGAAGGACCCAAAAACTCTTTCCAGACTGGAGGCTCCAAGCCCATGTTAACCAGCTGGGGCAGGCTCCTACTGGTGGGACTGGCAGTATGGATGAAGGTTGGAGGGTATGTATGAGCAGGATCCAACCATCCACAAAAAAACTGCTTAATAGGAAGATGAGGGACCATGTGCTGAGGGCATGACTCGGTTTTGACTCCATTCTGTGGCAAACTGTCCCTAATGTGATGCTCTACCTCCAGAACAAATCATCACTGTACATCTCCTCAGGATGGAGCCCACTGTGCTGGCTATCACCCTGTGACCCTGACCCCTGGTCACCTCCACACCTAACCAGCTTCCTGAGGGACACATGCCATCAGCAGCGGGTTCTGTGGCAGATCCAGGGGTGGAATGCAAAACAGGCACCAAAGGAAATGAACATACGAGTTGTGGACGCTGCAGTTGTAGAAGACAAAGCTGGTGCTGGCAAAGGTCATCCCTGTCTCCTTGGACTTGAGCTGAAGCTGGACAATGTGATGGTCTCCTGGGGGAAAATCAGACACATTAGTGTGTGAGAACAGGCCTAGTTAAGCCCTGTTGGCCATGCCACCACCATGAACCTGGAGCTGTCCCACAGCACCTTGGCTGGTCTACCCTCAATAGATGTAGAAAGTGCAATAAAATCCTTCTAGACCTCAGTTCTCCAAGAGGTACATCTCCCCCTCTTATGGTGTTGGGGTGATGGAGTATGTCTTCACCAGTGGAAATCATTGTAAGTGGGAGCAGAGACTGGGCTGGATGATGACAACAGGTCTAGACATAACCTCACTAGCTGCAAAAATATGGTGACTGAACTCATGAAGGAGGAAGGCTAAGCTCAAAGGATGAGTGCAGATGTCTGGAATCTGAAGGACATTAAAACAGAGTATCATCCTTAAAATTCTTCCCTGCTGCTGGGCCATTTGATGTTCCCAGAAGGAAGGGCCTGGGGACTTTCTTCCATGTCCATCCCCCTCAGCCTTTGGCTGCAAAGAACTCTCAGTGTGAATAAGAGACATCCATGAGCCACAGCACTTCCAGAAGGATCCACAGAAGACACATCTGCAGCAAAGTTTGCACCTCAGCTCTTACACACCATCTCCTCATTCCCTTTCCCACTGTTCCCATGCTGGGCAACCAACACCTACCTCTTCCCACAACACCAAACCCACCATTCAGAGCCCAAGGCTGTGGGTAATCAGTGGGTGCAGTAATTGCAGCAGTTTGGTGGGGAAGGGACCCAAGTTGAATTCAAGACTTACCTGGGTGGCCCTTTCTCCTCTATTTTCACAAGGGCAGGTAGTGATAGGTCAAGGGGGAAGGGTTTTAAACTAAGAGGGGAGATTGGGAAGGAATTCCTGGCTGGGAGGTGCTGAGACACTGGCACAGGTTGTCCAGAGAAGCTGTGGCTGCTCCATCCCTGGGAGTGTCCAAGACAAGGTTGGATGGGGCTGGTGGAAGGTGTCCCTGCCCAGGGCAGGAGGTTGGAACTAGATCATCTCTAAGGTCCTTTCCAACTCAAACCACTTTAGGATTCTATTGTTTTCCTCCTCACCTGGAAGATTCATTAACCACTCAGGCCAGAGCACACTCTTGGCAATCCACTGCAGTGTGCACCCACCTCCAGGCTCACCTCCTCACTCACACACCCTCACAGATGCACACACAGACCACACACTTCACCAAACACATTTTGCTGCCAGTGCTCAGCTCTGCTGCCCATCTGCTGCTACAGGCTGTGACTGCTCTGGAAACCACATGCTATTTAACCACTTTGCCAGCGTCTTGCATCTATTTTACAACAGGCTGTGAGGATGGGATGGTCCCAGGGATCTGACATGTGACACAGCCACACATCCTTTGGTTCAAATCCAGCCTCTGGCACTGTGCATGGAGGACTTGGTCTTTGCAGAGGTGTGTGGAGCAGCAGCTGGTGAAGTTGCTCCAAGCTGCACGTGCACAGCTTCTCTGAGAGCCACACTGCACATAAATCTCTCTCTCTTGTCCTGCCTCCAGCTTCCACTGCTATTTTTGCTTGCTGGTTGATTATAGCCTGGCCTGGGACAGATGTCCATACCAAGAAAAGAGTTTCTGGCATCTATCTTGCTAGACAAACATGACTGATAACTCGGCAGGACCTGCAAAAAGGTAACAGCCTTCTGGGGGCTTCTTTTGGGACACAGTGGAGAGTACATGCTGCTGTGTGCAGCTTGAGGAGAGCAGAAATGATGCTGACAGCTCATGTCACTTCATTTTCTGTGCTCTGAGGATCCTCAGTGGCCACTACAGTACATTTTCACAAGAAGCCAAGGACAAAACTTGGCAGCATCCTCTCTGCGTCTCCTGGGGTGAGCAACAGTGTTGAGGTTTTCATAGTAAGTCCTTGCAAAGAGCCACAGGTGCTCTTGAAATTGCCTAGAAAGTTTGTTAGAAAGGGGAAACAAAGGGCAGGACGTTGTGGATGGAGGGTGCATCCCTGGGGAGAAGGTATTGCTCTGTGCTGGACTACTTTAGGACAGAGAGAGAGCAGCAAGTCTGGAACAGCTGGAGGCAGTAAATCCTGGGGAGTCCTAAACCTGGGAGGAGCACGATGAAATTACAGACAGGATCATTCAGGTCTGCAGGATTTTCTGGCTGCTGCACATGATTAGATGTGTTGAGAGCATGTACAGCCTCATTCCCTGGGTTGTATAACACCAGCCTGGGCAAAAGGTGAGGGAATATCCCACATCCAACTCTTGGCTTTGCTAGATATATGCAACTGCCACTCGGTGGCAGCCTGAAAACACATCTTGTCACATATCCAGGCACCTGAGTGCAGGTCCTGCTGCTGCAGCTCAAAGCACACACAGCTCATGCCACAACGTGCTGCTGTGCAGCTCCACCAGCATCCCACCTGCTCCAGTGCTTCCCACACCCTGTGCTCAGGCTCCCATGGGCCAGACCCTGGGAGAAGGCAGGAGAGACACGGGGATGTGGGGTGAGGGTGGGAGGGAGAATTGGTGCAGGAGGAGGAGCTGTGGGATGCTCACCGTTCTCTGTGATGATCTGGGGCACCTCCTTGGCAGCTGGTGAGATGCATTGGATCTGACTGCCCACCACCAAGCCATCCATCTCAGAAAGGTCCTCAAAGGTGCAATTCACTCCTGCTGACAGCTCAGGGACGTTGTAAGTCTCCAAGACCAGCTGCAAGCAAAGATGGAGGGAGGGAGAGAAGATGGGGGGGGGGAAAGAAGAGAGAACACTAAGCTAAACAACAGAGCTGGATCAGCAGGAGAGAATTACACTGGAGAGGTTGGACAAAGAGCCTCTTGCTAGAGAGAGCATCCTCCTTCAACAGAAAGCAGCAACTGAGGAGAGGGACGTGTGTGTGGAGGGGAAGGGGAGGAGATGCTGATGCTGACACAGGTGGGACGTGGCTGTGCAGGGACACCTGCACTGGGGCAGTGCAGGGGAGGGAGTGCTCACTGTCTCTCATGCAAGTGTAAGGTTAGGCAGGGAGGCTTTGGAGCCAGCTGTGAAGACCAAGGGCTGTGGTTTCTGAGGAAGGTGACTGCTACTCACAAGAGGCTCTCTGCAGACTACAGAGAAACTGTAGCGCTCCAGTCTAACTCTCTACGGCCTGCTCTGCTGCTCGCCTAGCATCAGCAGGTGGGGAGCACTCTGGCACCAAATTCCTGTGTAAGGAGAGTCTAGTTACAGCCTTCAGTCCACCACAGAAAGCCTGCTGTCTCTAGAGGCACAGCAAACCTCTCCTGCCCATCCCACCAAAGACTGGCTCAGGGGACGTGCTAGGTTGGGGCTCTATATGGAAAAAAGCCATGAAGGAGGAATTCCCATGGGTTTAGAGTTCTGGCATTGCTATGTCGTTGCTTATGGTCATGGGAAAAGGAATCTTATGTTTGGTTTCCACCATGTTGGGGCTGTTCAGCCTGGAGAAGAGAAGGTTGTGTGGAGACCTGAGAGCAACCTGCCAGGAGCTGAAGGGGCTCCAGGGAAGCTGCAGAGGGATCTGTGTTAGGAGCTGCAGGGACAGGACAAGGGGTAATGGATTCGAATTGAAGGAGGGGAAATTTAGGTTAGATCCCAGGAAGAAGTTTTTGCTGTTCTGGTGGTAAGACACTGTCCCAGGTTGCCCAGGGAGGCTGTGGCTGCCCCAACCCTGGCAGTGTTTCATTCCAGCTTGGATGAGCCTTGAGCAACCTGCTCTGGTGGGAGGTGTCCCTGCCCAGGGCAGGGGTTGGGGCTGGATCATCTCTAAGCTCCATTCCAATCCCTAAAATTCTGTGATTCTATGATTCTATGTTAATTCCCTGGAGGAGCCTCATGCTGCCAACTTCCCACACCAGCTAAGGTTCTGCACCATCTCCGAGGGTCCAACCCACCAGATCACACCTGAACACAGAGAGCCATCCCAGGTTATTTCTAGCACCTGATGATGACCTAGTAGTATAAATTTGTCATTTTTGTGACCAAACACTACAGCAAACCACTGAACACAGGCACAAATGCAGATGTTCTCCTCACTTGCCTCCTCCACGAGCTGAGGCCCCATCTGAGCTGAGAGCCATTGAATGGAGACACAGGTGCATGCTGAAGTGCTATTTCCACCAGCACAAAGAACAGAGGAGGTCAGTCCAGTTGACAAAGCAGGACAGGATGAGAACATAACATGAAGCTTACTGCTCCCACACACTGTGTTTTCCTCACTCAGGAAAAGGTTGGAGCTACTTCCTCACACTAGGCACCATCAGGGAGAAATGCTGAGCAGAGAGGCCTTAGCCCTGGCTGCCAGAAAGCCTTAGTGAGAGTAGGTTCACTTTGTGGCCATGGGAATGGCAACGGGAAAGGTGATTTTTGGTCTTGGATGGGGAGAAGGAAAAAGCTTTGGTTATTAGGATGGATTTGGCACTCAGGCTAAATCCACTCTCCCTGCTCCTTGACATCCTGATGGCAATGGAGAAGGGGAAACTTCTCCTTACCAAAACTCTCTGAGCATGGATGGTGCAGAATGAAGTGCCATGCAGAAGATGACACCAATGGACAGACCAGAAGTGTTTAGCCACTAATGCCATGAGCCAATGCACACCCTGAACAGACAAAAAGTCCTACATCCCACGTGCCTGTTCTGAAGCTGCTCAAACAAGGAAAGCATGGAGCCTTCCCCCAGCAAGTAGCTCTTCTCAGAGGTCCCAGAGCAGCAGTTCTGGACTGAAACACGCATGGAAAATTTTCCAAGATCCTCCTGTTAGTGCCCAAAATGGAAAGGCTTGGCTGACCACACAGATACCTTCTCTGCCTCCATGGGTATGAGCTCAGTGTCACTGACTCTTTGCTGGAACCCAAGTGAGACTGGGTAAGGACACCACCAGCCATCTCCTGGTGTTCCCCTCCTGGTTTCCAAAAGGTTCTGTGTGGTGACTGGATCACCAGTTTATCTGGGACTGGGCTGAGATTGATGCAGATTATGGGGCACCAGTTAGATGACAGCAGCTCCTGATCCCAACAGCTCTGGGCTGACTTGCCCTGGGAGTAACCTAGAGGTAAAGGTCTTTTATTCTGTTATCATTTGCAGCTGCCCGGAGCCAGCAAGTCCCCCAGGATTTCTTCCAACATGAAAGAATCCAACAACTACTGAGAGAATAAGAAAAAGAAACCTTGAACTCCCCAAAGAACAAAGAACTTAAGATGTCTCAGATCAGTTTTGTTTGAAGCCTAGGAAAGTAAAGGCACAGCAAAGTTAAGAGGCTGAAACAAAGCAGCAATGATTGGACATGCAGGATTTGAAAGGCTGATTTCATTGCCACTAGAGAAACCCCAAGGAAGGACTCCAAAACCTGTCACCTGGGAGATGTCTGCCAGCTGCACCTTCAGCAGTTCCATTCAGACCTTTCAGGGTGTGGGACTAGTGACCAACTCATCCAGAGATGGAGTTTTTAGGGTTATCAGCTTAACTGCAGCCCAAACTAGTATGGCCAAACCCACAGAGCTCTAGCAGCCTGAATGAAATGGGTCTCTGCCTCCTTCTTGAAGCATGTTGGCATCTTACCACATAAGGTACTGCTGCCGTGGGTCAGGATGGAAACCACAAGCTCATTAGATCCTGAACAGGGATTTCTTGTCTCAAACCAAGGAAATTATCAAGGTCATTTACTCTCTTCCAGCACTCACTGTGTGGCTTCATTCGCTGCTGACTGAGAAGCTCAAGGCCATAAAGGTTAAACCTTGTGCTGTGGAAGGCCATAAGATACAGGATGAACCTCAGAAGCCTTTGGTTCCTCTGCATAGCATCCTGCCCCCCTGCTCCGCGTACTTAGCCCTGGAGCTGGAGCAGGGTGAAGTTCTTGGTGGTTTAGAAGGAGATATTTCCATCCAAGATGATGAGAACTTGGGGCTCACTGAGCTAACTCATGGTATCCATCACTTGCCCTTCTAGAATGCAATTTCTAACCATAATGTCCCTTGGCTGAGTCATAAACAAATCCCTCTCCCAGGGAAGCAAACAGCTACACTGGGTGCACACAACACTTGCATGGAGTCCCTTCTGACTTGCCCTCAGCTACTACCAGCAAACAGGAAAGCCTCTTTCCACACTTCTAGACTGGGGATAACCAAGGTCAAAACATCCTCCTGTGGCAAATCTTTCCCTGTGCCAGGAAGACTTGCTGGGGAAGTTCATGGCCTCTGGAGAACCTCTTGCATGAAAGCTGCCAGTCCTTCCCACCCCTGCTGAAGCCAGGTTGGACACAGCCAGGCCTGTCAGTCTGCGTGGGGAGCTGGGAGCAGAGGGGAGGGGTTAGCACTGCTCACCACCACGTTGTACTGGGAGACGGAGATGTTGTTGGGGTGCACGGTGAGGCGGACGCACTGCTTCATCTCCGAGGCGAATCTGCGCGGCTCGCTGGAGCGCTCGCACCGCTCCTTCCTCGTGCACCTGGGCAGAGGGGACAGGGGACACAGTCAGCACAGAGCCAGCCTGGGAGCACCAGGACAGAGCAGGGGAGCGTGGTTTAACCCCAGGGAGCAACCTAGAACCACACAGCTGCTCACACACCCCCATCAATGGGATGGGGGGGCAATCTGAAGGGATAAAAGCTCATGGGTTGAGATAAAGACAGTTTAATAGAGGAAACAAAAGCCACACACACAAGCAAAGCAAAACAAAGAATTAATTCACTGCTTCCCACAGACAGGAGGTGTTCAGCATCCCCAGGAGAGCAGGGACCATCACACGTAACGGTTCCTTGAGAAGACAAACACCATCACTCCAGATGTCCCCCCTTCCTCCTTCTTCCTCCCACCTTATATACTGAGCATGATGTCCCATGGTATGGAATATCCCTTGGGTCAGTTTGGGTCACCTGTCCCAGCTGTGTCTCCTCCCAATCTCCCATGCACCCCTACCTTCCTTGCCAGTGTGGCAGTGTGGGCAGCAGTAAAGGCCTTGGCCCCGTGTAAGCTCTGCTCAGCAATAACAAAAACACCTCTGCATTATCAACTCTGTGTTCTGCACAAATCCCAAACATAGCCTCATACTAGCCTCTATGAAGAAAGTTAACTCTACTTCAGCCCAAACCAGCACACAGGGACATGGGAGGAGCAAGTGTTGTGGATGGAAAGGGAGGTCTACAAGGAAGGTGGACATGGACTCTAAGTTAGGAGCTCTGTTGGAGTCAGAGATAGAATGAATACCCTGTGGTGTTCATTCAGCCAAAATACCCTCTGTGGGTATTTGGGCTGAGCTGTTGCAGATGTTTCTATGCTGCTGCATTTTCAAGTGCCTCTCAAGCATCACATTGTGCATCTCTTAAATAAACCTCCTCTGACCTGTGGCATTACAAGCACAGCACCCAGTGCTGACCCAGTGCGGCTGATGTAGGGGTGCTGGGAAAAAAAAAGGGCTGAGCATCTCTGCCATGCCCATCCAGCCAGGATGAGTCTGGAACCCCTGACAGCCATGGAGTCACTAAACTGCTGAGAGAGTTGGGGCTGTTCAGCCTGGAGAGGAGAAGGTTGTGTGGAGAGCTCAGAGCAACCTGCAGGAGCTGAAGGGGCTCCAGGGAAGCTGCAGAGGGATCTATGTTAGGAGCTGCAGGGACAGGACAAGGAGCAATGGGGAGAAATGGAAAGAGAGAAAGTTAGGTTAGATCTCAGGCAGAAGTTTTCCCTGTGAGATTGGTGAGACACTGGCACAGGTTGCCCAAGGAGGCTGTGGCTGCCCCAACCTTGGCACTGTTCAAAGTCAGGTTGACTAAAGCCTTGAGCAACTTGCTCTGGTGGGGTGTAGTATGCACAGTTGTACAGATGCTCTGTCTCTCTACCCACACTGCATGTACAGCATAACCTTCCCTTGGGCAAAGCCACAGCCCTGAAAACTCTCTTGTCCAAGGGCAGTGGGACACCTTAGGCAGGGATGTCCTTGCAGAGAAGCTGTGTACAGCTCATGCTTTTGGCCCAGCTGAGAATGCTGCACACCTGTGGTACCTGGAGAGGTTCTTGGGCTGCTGGTACCTCTCTGCTGGCATGGGACCACCCTCCAAGCCATTCCTCAGCAGCTGCTAAGTAGTCACTGCAGATTAAGGAGTGCCAAGGGATGAATCCTAAAAACTCTGGTGTTCCCAATTAGTGACAGTTCAGTGACAAGTGGTGGGTGCACAGGCCCACAAAGCTCACACCACCCACTAACTGTTGATGCTTTCAGTCCTGTCCTTTCATCTCACCTCTCTGGTGTAAACACAAGCCTGGCAATGTGAATTGGTAGATTTTTTTTTTTGGCCCTGTTTCCATCCAGATTTGCGTTTGCTTAGCAAAACCCACATCTGTATTTCACTCCACATGTGCTGCCAAAGCCATGGCTTCAAGGAGGTGCCTGCCTGGAAACCCACAGGGTTAATCCAAGGGGGCAGCTCCAACTGCATGCCAATTACCTCTTGCCATTAAGCTAATGTTATGGACTTGCACAGGGTGTCGTCAATGGATTTTGTTATTAGCAGTGCTATTACCCCCCATTAAAATCAGCTATAAAGACTAAGTGTGAGTGTTAAATTATTCACCCACTCCCAGACTTCAGAGCCCGAGTTGTGAGAGCACATGGGGCTGCTGGAGGGTTAGCTCCAGGATCTCCCCTCAACACCCTTGATCCCTGGAGCAGAGACTGCACCTATGCCATGGGGATTTGCAGCTGGGGATTGATGTTAACACGTGCAAAACCAACCCAATGTATGGTTAACACTAATCTTACAAAGCTTGGGATGGCCTAAAACTTCAGGGTTTGGCCTCTCTCTATTGGCTGACACTAGGTAAAATGAACACCCCAACTTCAAACTCCAATTTCTTCATGTTTCTGACAAAGTTTTGCCTTTCCAGAGGCAGGAATCACAAAGGGAGATCTCTCCCATTCTCAGCACGTTCTCAGTTTGCTTGGCAGGTCTGAGAGAGCAAGAGCAGCACTGCAGCTCCAGCTCTGCATTCCCCAGGAGCCTCCAGCCCATTAAGTCTCCTTTAGCACTGCTGCACGCTAGGTCAGGAATTTTAAATGGGCAATCTCAGGAGGGTTGGACCAACATCTTATGAGCTACTCCCCAAACCCTAAGTCCTCTCTGGTGGTGTGAAAGTCAAATGGCAAAATGCTGACCTCAGGTTTTTCCATGAAACAAATAGCCACACCAATGCCACTAAAGCTCTGGGAACTCCTCTCCTGAGAACAGCTTGGAAGGAAACCCTTTGTGGCTCGGTGTCAGAACACAAGTGCCCAAATTCTTCAAGATGACCTGTTTCCTCCTACTTATTTCCTCCAGCTGCAGCACAACAGAAATCTGTGGATTTCCTAAAATTAAACAGGATCATTTCAAGGCTATGGTTGAGCATCTAGGGATGAGGTTTGTATTCCTAATCCCACCACTGAGCAGGAAAATAACAATCCATATCTTATCTTGCTGTTTGCAGGTCATACACACTTAAGACATAGATTCATAGATTCACATTTAAGGGGTTGGGATGGAGCTTAGAGCTCACCCAGCCCCAACCCCTGCCCTGGGCAGGGACACCTCCCACCAGAGCAGGTTGCTCAAGGCTCATCCAACCTGGAATGAAACACTGCCAGGGCTGGGGCAGCCACAGCCTCCCTGGGCAACCTGGGCCAAGTAACATATAGCTTCTCAACCCAAACCCTCACTCTGTGTTAGGCTGATGTGTCTTGCAGCCTTGGTATCTGCTGCAAGGTGTGTTGCCATGCAAATAAAGAAAATGATGAAAAACCCAAGCAAACTAAGCCTGGTTTTAATAAAATGTGAAGGTTGCTGTGTCAGGCTCTCAGGAATTAGGCACCGCCAGACTGAAAGTAGCTTCTGCACTCCTAAACCTGTTCCCTGCACTGACACGCTGCAAGTCAGACTTTAATTACAGGATCACACGTTATTATTCCTTTTTGCCACGGTGACCTCAATTTTGACACTTCCTAACTTGTGACTTTGACTGTCTGACTTTTTCAATGCAATTTCTCAGTTGGAAAAGCCTCAAATACCTGTGCCTGATGCTTGAGGGTGATGATGGGGGAGGTGTGCCAAGCTGAAACAAACCCAGCTGGGCTCTGGGTCACTGGCAGGGTTCAGGGCCTTGAGTCAACATCACAGACCCTTCCTTGAGCTAGCAACATAACTCACCCCAGGGAACTGATCACAGCTGCTGCAGAAATCAAGCTAAAAGATGGAGCTGCTTGTCAGTGGGTTTGGCAGGTTTGTCCATGCAGAAGGGAGTGATGGAAGCTCTTCTCCAGAGCCTTCTGCCCATAGTTTCCCCTGTCTCCTCTTCCTTGACCACCTTATCTATCCTAAGCTGAAGCATGTGGAGCATCCTGTGGATCAACACACCACACTCTCCCAAGGTGTCTGCCCAGCACCTGAGGCTCTTCAGAGCCAAAACACGGTGCCCTGTGGTACATTACCCTGAAGGAGGAAGGATTTAGATTGGATATCAGGAAGAAATTCTTTACTCAGAGAGTGGTGAGACACTGGCCCAGGTTGCCCAGGGAGGCTGTGGCTGCCCCAACCCTGGCAGTGTTTCATTCCAGGTTGGATGAGCCTTGAGCAACCTGCTCTGGTGGGAGGTGTCCCTGCCCAGGGCAGGGGATGGGGCTGGATGATCTGTAAAGTCCATTCCAACCCCTAAATTCTATGATTCTAACAAAGAAGAATTTGCAGACACAAGTGCCTGACACAGGTGCTCAGCTGCACTCACAGCTGCTCTGTGAGAGGGAAAATGAACCATCACAACCACATCTCTTCATTCCTGTTGTCTCTGTTGGGAGTCAGAGTGTGCCCTGGGAGATTCCTGGGACTCTGCTGTGCTCTCACCTGCTGTGAGTTATGCAGACAAAACTACCTTGTACTGCCAATAGCTGCTTTGCTTTAATCCAGTGACTGTAACTCCTGCGTGTTGGGGATGTCAATATGCCGAGATGACTTTCCACTGACACACACCTTAATTCACTGCTATCCATGCTATAATTAGCTGCTGTGTAACTCCCACCCAGTGGCATCACATTACACCTAAGGCACCTGAAAGAGCATCTCCAGCTCCTGAACGGATTTGAATACGATTATGGTGCAGACAAGACACTTCTCTGTATGTCTTAACAGCAGCTGCTCTTCCATTATCAGCTGCATCCTTCACAATTCCAAGGGTCCTGCTTGGTCCAAACCATTAGTACAAACACTGAGGAGCTGTTCCTACCACTGAAGCATGAGGAATGTTATTTCCTCCTCATCTCCCATTAAGAATAAATACAGCTAACACTAACCCTCTGTTCACCATCCACTAACCAATTATTTTAATCATGTTAAATTAATACTTTGTGCTTCAGTAGTGTCTCTCATCCAAGGATCTCAGAGGGCTTTGCCTGGAGCTAATTAAACTTCATGATACCTCAGTGAGGTT